TACACCATCGAGTAAGCTGTTCAGGCAATGCGGTGGTTTTTAATGTGCATACAATTTATCATTAAAAACTGTCCAGAAAGTGCTTTTCACTGCATGCGGTATGCAAGCGTTTTGGTCCAACTGCATCAGACTACGCAAAAATGTAATGCTTTACGTGTGTCCCATAATTTTACAGTTTCAAAATCAAATTATTGCTAAACAATCCTGTCAAAAGCGCTAGCTCATTTCAAAAGTTTGGAAATTATTGAGGATAAAACCCCGCTGCGACGAGAGATAAGGAGGAGAAAGTCTGAGGTAAACCAGAATACTGACCAGCTATATGGCGCCCCGCATCCAGTTGATATTGCTCCACTTAGTGGCCAACACAAATGTGAGGATAATACTCCGCTTGCTGCAAACAGGGACGAAGCGGTGAATGATCAAGTAATTTTTGAAATTAACAAGGAATCACATGAATATGTGTGCCACTCTATTGCATTAATTGCTGTGTCCGCTAGAACATCTAATTCTCGCACTTCGAAGTTAAAATCAACGTCAGATGTAAAATCGGTTACTGGAGAACCGCCACCGGGTCGCAGTTTTACAGCTAAGCATGATAACTCGACCAAGCCCAAAACGGCTACAATCCACAAAACTAGTGATGTGGATGATGTTTCCTCTTGCATAACCAGTTCTGGCAGTCATATACGGTTCCCTGACACTGTTTCCTGCATGCAAAGTGACAACAGCGTGGATCAGAGAATAACAACCGCATTACCTGCTAAATCCCAGTTGCATGAGAAACCGCCACCTCATAACTCGAACTGTCATGTCCCGCCTTAAGTCTGCTCTGGCCAGTGCCCAGGCTCATCAAGAATATCGATGGATTCGGTCAGATCGATCGATAGTAAAAGGCCAGTTGACCCAGCTTTATCGCAAGCATCAATGGGCGATTCTGTATCGTAATTTTGTTTGGAGAGATGTACATCCGTTGGTCATAAAGTTTTCGAAGACGTGCCGCCATCTTTGCACTTTACACACGGTGTAATTGGGTACCACAACTTTCCGTTTCCACCAACAAACCACAAGGATTATGCTGATGGTGGTGTAGGGATGGACACCAGCGTGCCTCCACCACGAATAGTGAGGCCTTGTACATCGAGCGTCAGTAAGCGGATTGTACACATGGAAATGACAGCAACCCATTAACTTCTGTCAATGTGTTACGTAATCCACAGCCGGTTAGTGACATGATGCAGAGGACACAATTTAATTCTCTAGCTCCCACAAGCTATTACAACAATCATGGACACCTTTTTCAAACTAATTTCTAGAGGGTCATACTCAATCGCAACCCCCTCCACTGGGGCCACCTCCAAATTATTTTCCACCGTTGGCCATACACGACTTTTTCAATAATTTCTAGCCTGGGTCCAGGCACACGGCTTGAAACCCCAGTGTTTACAACACAACGTAAACAATCTCCCTCCTATCTCACATCCATCCCAGTATGTTTGATAAATATTCCATCTCTTCACTCTAAGATCCACACACTACGCTCTTTTGTTTTGGTGGTTAATCCTGATATAATATTTATTACTGATTCTTGCTGCCCTGATGACATGTCTGACAATCAGTTAACTATATTCGGATATAACAAGTTTAGAAGAAGTCGGCCAAGTCGTCGAAGTGGTGGCCGTTTAAGTCATCTGGACAATTCGCTCGCAACAGCAATGTTCGAGAACCCAATGCTGAACCAAGTCCAGGAATCACTATGGCTTACGATATCTGTTAAGCAGCAGCAGCTGCTGCTTGTGGCATGTACAAACAGCGCATCAAACTGCAGTCAAGAAGACCTAGAACTTTTGACGCTTGCATTTGAATGAGCCACTAGCCTACCATTTATACATAAGATTCTTGGAGGTGATTTCAATCTGCCTTCGATTTCATGGCCCATGGGAAACGCTCCTTTGAAATGCCAAACTGTTATCTCCTGTATCCAAATATATGGCTGGCAGCAACACGTCGCCCAACCTACCAGAGGTGAAAGTACTCTCGATCTCATGTATCCTTGGCCATACTTGCAATCAGTGTTAATGTTCTTGATGAATTCCCGGGGAGCGATCATCGCGTGATCAAATGCCGCGTAAGACTACGCATGGCCGATGCACAGAACACATGGTATTGTGGTCTTATCAGTTCCGTTAACCGGAACTCTTTCAAGGATCTGGTTCGTTCGATGGATGGGGGTAACTCCTTACACTCTTCATGTCCTCAACAACCGACGGGCCTGTTTTACAGTATAATTGTCTTCTGCATCGATCCAGCAATACTCCTAAAATGTGCTTACCAAACTACACATAAATCCGATCGCAAGGCGTTGAAGACAACACGAAAGCTTCATAAGCTTCGGCAGCAATTCAGGTTAACTGCTGACTTTGCGCTATTATTACCGCAGTCAAAGCTCGTAGAAGAACAGAGGCATCAAAATAACAAAGTTCCTATTCTAGAAGAGTATAAAGATCTGAACAGCTTTAGTAAAACTGCTGAGCTTGTCAAACTGTTCTGTGCCCGAGGTTCGCGTAGCAGCAACAATTTCATTTTTATCACCACAATTGATGGAACATACTACTAAGCACCAGGTAATATCTGCGAAGCTTTCAGTGCTTATTTTGCCGAATGAATGGTTGCTGAATCATCAGACACACCAGCAATTATCATGCCGGACAAAAATAAAAGTCTATGCACAGTGGAATTCACCATAGCGAAAATCACTGGTCAAGTCTCTCGCTTATGCACCTCAACGTGCGCAGGACCTGATGGGATCTCCCTTATTTTATAAAAAGTAGTGGTAGTGTCTTCCTTCTGCTTTTACTCAACATCTTTACACTCTTCTTTAAAATCGAAGTATACCCTACTCAATGAAAACTTCTGTCGTTATCCCGCAACACAAAATTTACGCTGCCCACGAGGTTAAAATCTTAGTCCCATCAATCACGCACCCATCGTATCTAGAATAATGAAAAGGATAGTGTAACATGAACTATTTGTATTATTGAACAAGGCTAATATCAACAACAATTCGCAACACGGCATCATGCAAGGTCGATCTTTCGCAACATGCCAGACAGGCCTTGTAATCCATACAACGGTTGCCATAGACAACGGAAGCATTGTTGTAATCCTGGTCCTGGATGTAAAAAATGCCTTCGTTAGAGTGCCTGACAAAAGTTGACTAAACAAACTCTAGGCTATAGGCATTAGAGAACCGACGGTTTTTTGGTTGGCTTGATATCTAATTAAGAGACAGCAGGTGGTGCGTATGGGCGAAAATTTCTCTACACCGAAAGCAATTACCACTGGAGTGATTCAAGGGAGTGTTCTTGATCCTCTTCTTTTTCTGATATATATTAACGACATATTCCAGAGAATAAGAAATGGTGTGACAATTCACTTTGCTGATGACATTAAAGTTGTCTACTCACAACCCCATGCATATACCCATGAAGCAGTACGTCTCATACAGTATGGCCTGACCGCCCTTGACTCCTGACGCCAACTGTGGCAGACGTCATTTGCCGTGCACAAGTGGACTATTTTGTCGTACAAATACAAAGTATCGCCGGACAGTTTATTACTACAAGGCGCATATATCTCGCAATGCAGGGCAGTTCGTGATTTGGGCATGCGATATTCAGTTACGATTGACTTTTCTGAACATTGTGACTTTCAAGTTTCGAAAGCGATGAAGACCATCGGTTACATCTGTCAGCAGTTTTACCTAACGGAATCCCGCATATCGCTTTACAAAACATATGTATTGCCATGTGTGAAATACTGTTCAGTGGTCCAGTCTAATCTGCGGAAATCTGACCAGCATGCTCTTGAGAGGGTCCAGAGACGCTTCAGGAAAATCTTATGTAAATATTCCTCAAAGTTGAAATACAGACAGCGAGGTGATAAACTTGGCTTTGACCCAGTTTGACTTCTTAGAAAGAAGCTGAACCTATGTTTTCTTTACACAATCATAAACTGTCTAATTCGCAGTCATGATAACGTGTTCACATATCTTTAAACAGCAGATATCCGATCCGTAACAAAGAGGTAAATGTCTTGATTATAAAATTTACTACGAGAATCAGAGTACCTTGCTTTCTAGCCCACTACTCAAAGATTTGGAACAATCTTCCAAGTAATATCAGTAGGTGCTATACACTTTGCAATTTTAAGCTTGCGATTAGTAAACAGTTAACCGTCCGAAACGTGATTAATATGTTCGGGACATCACAGTCTCTAGATAGCGCTCTGGAAAAAGGTATCGATGGTGCCTGGATAAATTTTCGCAACACATACCCATAAAATATCGGACAACAGCCCCCTTCATTTCCTTTTTTCTCGGTCCAAACATCTGTCTTGTGATTGGGAAGAATCCTGGTTTACTAGAAAGGAATACAATAGCAGAACGATTCTGATGACTTTGTGTTACACACTTTGAAATTGCGCCCATGTTTCTTTCGAAACTTATTATTGAAATGTCAGGAAACGTATGTACCATTATTTGAACCGTTCCTTCTAGGGAACAGCTTCTCGCATCGTAGAGGAATATACAACTTATTTATTTATTTATGTATAATTTGAATTTTTCATTTCCCGGTCACCGCGCCATCACTGTTAGTTAGCTTACCAACTTTCGCTGGTAAACAACTGGCACCCAAGCTTCAATGTTCACACAATAAACCCACAATCATCACGACTGGCAATTATTGGAATTTAGCTTCGTTGTTACTCGGACACTGTAATAACTCCTGCTCATCGGAACTGTTACGTCGGAGTAAGATTTCTGCTGACGCAGTGGTAGCACGGCTTACGGGTTGCTCGTTCGCAATTCGTTGTGGTAGTGTGTTGTCATTCGCATGGAGAACCAGCCGTAAGCTTCTAGTTTGTGTAAGTGATTTCATGATATCTTTGGCTTGATGGTTACGGGAAACATTCACCAATTCATGTGGTCTATCTTTTAACAGCTTCTGTGCTTTTGGAAGATTACGCATTCGTCATCGGTGGAAGAAGTTCGGAGGGATCACTCGGCGTAATTCAAGTGTACAGTGTGAATCAGGACCAATGGCGTATCCAGCCGCAGATTCTTCCAAGTGCACGCTCCAGTAGCTGTGGGATTGCGATTGGACTGAAATAAATCACGTGCTATTATTGTACTTAATTTCAAGGAGCTTCAGTAATCTGTTTACTGTTGTAATTATTGCACTCGTCCACAAAATGTTTCAATTTGTACTGGGGACTTAATTTCTTTGTCAAACGGAAGCGCTTTTAGGATCTTTCTTGTTCGGATATCAATCCGTCTGCGGATTTAACTACGTTCCGTGAGAGCGGATGGACACTGCGTACTACGGATTTAAGAGAAAAATGTTTTATCCAAAAATGGAAGGATGCTGCATTCCATGGCACAACACGAACTTTACATCATTTGGCCATGACAATTGCATTGTTTCGCCCGCCGTAGCTTTCAACCGAACGTTGTTAGTCGTTTACTCGCTCAATATGTCAGGTTCTGCATACAGCACCTTACCTGGTGCATATATGACGGAGTAGTAGTTTTGGACAAATGTGATGCATTTATACCACTGTACAGCAGGCTATGTTATTATTTGCAAGGTAAGCAAGTATGTACAAAAAAGACCGCTTCACGCTCGCAACGATTCGGTAAAATCCTCCTGTCAGCTTGAATCTCCTGGCTTTGCGCAATGAAATGTCAAATCTAGTGCTGTTTCAATTTAACCAGGAGGTACGCGTATTGGGAAGATTGTCAACTATGACAAATGAATTACCATATTGTACCGAATAAAAGCCGATAGTTTTTGGGCAAGTTTTTCTTTCTGTAGTGGTGGGGGTGACTTATAAAATGGTTATGTGCAATTTGAGAAAAGTCGCTTACTGTGCCATGACTCCATAACCCAATGCGCTAACTTTTATCCAGTGCAGGAACCGGTTTTTCTATTGCGTGCTGCTTTCTAGCCTACAGACATTAATGACATTTCTAACTTGTTCCTTCGCCACTATCTCACTTGCTTTTCATTCACTGTGAAATGGCGTGCAGCCATAAATCTACTGGGTTGCTCGGCAAACACCATAACTTTTTCTTTGGAGATCGTCTAATATAGGGACTTAGGACTTTGGACAAATTTGATATTACAGAATTGTACTGTCTGCCTATCCATGGACAGGCTTATATTCGGTAGTATACGGTAATGTTAGTTCGTCAGGCGCGCGGATGAATCAGTTTTCATGCCTATCGGAAACGTGACCCAAAGAAAATCGTATATTTGGTTGCTTACTGTTAGAACTCGAGTTGGATTATTTTCCCAGTGCTTCTGTTCACCTGTTAGATGGTTCTCATCCGAGATTTCGTACACTAAGGTAATGAGGGTAAAGAGGTTAGTCAAAGGGTAAGTTGTGAAAGTCAACTTTATACGAAAAGACCTAGATTTCTCGATTTTATCAAACATGTCTTATTACTTTTATCGCAATTACATTACAAGCCGCATAGATAAGCTATCAATGCGGAAAGGCACCGGACGATCATTGCAGCTCACTGGGATGCATTCGCTGTGCGCATTCCCTCGGTCTCCTGCTGGGGCTCGAACCCTGCTAAGTTTCAATTCGTGATGTTTACTACCGTCCTCCGTGGCTCAGTGGCGTAAGCTGTTAGCTAGTGATGCAAGCCACTAACGGTCTGGAATTCGATACCCACAAGGAAACGAGGGAGTGCGCACCAGTGGCTTTTTCCATCGGGACGGAACGATCGTCTGGTGCTTTTGCGGCTTAATAGCTTACATATGCAGTTTGTAATCCAATTGAGATGAAACAAATAGAATACGTATGTTTGCCGAACTCGTGAACATTAAGCCGTTTCATCTAAAGCTAAAACTAATAGTATCACACCCAGATCCGTTTACTCACCGGTAATATGTAGTATAGATCTGAACTTTTATTGTTTCTTCTATTTCTCAGTTTTGAGTCAACAACACCACGGCTTCACTCTCTACTGTTATGACTAATTCAATACATTATAAACCAAGGTAGCTGTAAACCGCGTATTGATCAGCTTTGACTTATTTTGCTTTCAACTTAATGTACTCATAGATGCCAAGGATTATGTCTAGGTTTGAGGGGACCTGTAGACCTTAGATTAAGTTTGTGATTATTGCTCAAGAGAGACTCTACGGCCTATGGTAACCGTTATACTTCGATAATACATTGTTGTTCACCAAAAACCCTAAGACCACAAAAGAGATTCCGAATCCATATCAGTGCTCCCCTAAACAAATGTTTTAGAAGTTACCAAGTAAAACTGTGGTAGTTGGTAACGGGGGTGGAAACAAAAGCCTTCAACGGTGGATGCAGTCAGATCGGTTTGAGTATGAAGCAAAGTTTTAGCATCGTGAGAATGGACGACGTTCTCAGCTTCTAAGGGGTCTTTTTCCTGCATCGAGTGATTGATGTGTAGAAATTGGATTGAAAAGACTGGCAGTGTCACATCTTTTTGGCAGGTGTCTCAGTCGGCCAAAGAATAGACCTCACATGTGTCCAAATTGCTGCTGCTGGACCTCCGATTGTAGCTGGCTTCAAGCTGATGGTTTGACATTTTCATCTATAAGATTGACTTTCAGGAGAGTCACTTGTGTAGTTTCGTGGCTTGAGAACACTGGGTAACTGAGCTAAAGATATCCTTTTGGGTTCGACATACATAGATTTATCTCAAATTCTAATTTCTCACTGATCTTTTGGATTTTGATGGTGACCTCAATTATTCAAATAAAATTGTAAACGTTCTGTTGTTAATGTTTGCGAGTGATGTTGAGTGGCATCGCAAACACCGATATTGACACACTAGGTTAAGCTTATGGTTAGTTTCTGGAAAAGACTGCACCACCACGCCGGTGCAAGAATTGGCGGAAGCTTTTGTTCCAATGTATACCAAAATGTAGTATGAACGGATGGAAACTCCTGATGCCAAGGTATATGGATTACAAGGGAGTAGTTGGGGAATGTGGATGGGACAATTAAAAAAGGCAGAACGTCCAGATTCAGTCAGACCGACGTCACACACCCAAAAAAGCACTGTATGACGGTCTCATACTTGCTGGAATCGGTAGTGCGCAATCCATCTGAACCCTGTAAGGCTCCAACCCACAAACTGACTGTTGTCAGTCTGTGGTTGCAACCAGTCGGTGTGATGAAAGCTGACAACGCAAGCAAACTGGAAAGGCAACCAATACTACAACAAAGCCAGATAGACAAAGGGGGATCGGTTTGCGAAGTGGTGAGTCAATCATGCCCTTTGTCCGAGTCTAACCCAATCGAATCACCGGCACCTTACGCAGCACACGAGGACGGCTAGCACGCGGAAACCGACAGAGACGACAGACAACAAACCAATCAGAGCACGTACCCAATGAGTGGACCGGACTGGTTTGGAGGCGTGGACAAAGAGCACCATTGTCCCAGAGAAGCTATGAATGGTCCACACGGATAAGAAAGAATGGTGGGCGTCAGCCAGTGAACATAGGCAAACTACCAGAAGGAATCAAGCATTGAGAAAAGGTCCAGTAAATAGTACTGTAAAAGTATAAAACGGCCTACGGGTTCTTTCCTAACAGGTTTGTGATTTTTGTCCAGACTTTCTTCTTGATTCTCAGACGGCTACACAACAGCCAGTGACTTACATTTAGGCGTAGACTGGTAAACGGTGCAACAGCTAACAAATAATAGATGGTTCTATTGGATACTATTAATAAAATGGGGTTAAACATGCGTAATTGCGACAGGATGGTCATCCAGTAGCGTTAACGTTAAGAGGCGTATTATCACAAATGCAAATCAAACAGACTCGCTGCTGCTTGCCCACGCACAAAGATAGCATTTCAGTGAAACGCACCTCGTGGATCTTGTGAACCCTGACACATTTTGACTCGTTGTTTATCAAGTAATTCAGCAGAAATCGATGGAAGCCAGGGTGCCTTTTAAAGTCTTGGGAAAGGTTGCTACTGCTATTACTACTTTTCTATTTTCTAATTCTATAAGCTAAATATATACGTTTTAGTATGGCTACAGTCCTGTTCGCTCGTAGACACTTTCTATTTCTCACCATCCCACACACTGATTGGTCAAGTTTCAGACCATATTTTGGACGAAGTCTATTGTTTCCTGCCTGTATTGTGTCGGTTGACCTAATCTGTAAGAAAATCAATAATATTGGGCAATATCAACCCATCCCACCCCATTCGCCTCTGCCTTTCGGGCGGTTAGTAGCTGCAATACTTAACCGCAGGCCTAATGCGGACAAACTTAGGGTGCCAGTGAGCAATGCGCTCCTATCTAGGTAGTTAACCTTATATAATTTTTACAAGCGAATGTCTTCCGCTGCTGCTTACATACCTATTTAGCCGGCTGTTGAATGCATCAGGCTCAAGTGAAAGCCACTATTTCCATCCAGTTCGCATAGCGACGTTCAGTTAAGTAAGTGAGGAGTAAAGTGTGTTGCATCCCCTTGCCCGTTAACATGATTTTGTGACACATTGCCAGTATGTCATTTTGAACACAGCTGGTAGCCAGTTGGTAGCCAACTGCCGCAGCGACGATTCCTTACCAAGTATCCAGATGCCACAAATACCGTGATGCATCCTTTAATAGTGGAAAGTAAAGAAAGTGGGGTGGTGGATTGTACGGAATTGGGAGAGTTCGTGCGCTCTTGCTGTACCAGTAATGAGATGGAAATATATTAACTGATATCTCTACTGGAGCCCACACTACCATTTGCATTGCGCTTTGCCTTTGAAGTAGTCGTCGACTGATGTCGATCTGGAAACGCACCGAAATCTTAGGTTGGGCATCAGTTCTATCAAGTACATCAGACAAGAGTAGTCTGAATGAAAATTATAGTGTTGCTCATCCCAACACTGGCACCCCAAGACCGCGGTTTCGTCCTGGTTGGGACTCATCAGTTGGGGATAGCCTGAGTTGGGTTGGAACTCAGAGCCTAGTGGCTCATGGTTCACGCCATAAGCACTATGCCACTGAGATCCGCGAGTAACGCTTGGTCCAGCGGAGACGAATGTAAAGTTGGACTTGGAGAATCCGCTGGGGGTTGGGTTTTGCTACAAGCAACCTCTATTGACA